ATATATATATATATATAAAAGGAAGTGAAATCTCCTATCTGGGAACTGTTTATTCGGCAGAGATTACGCCAGCAGTCAAACCAAATCGTTGACTGCTAGATGGATCCAAAGTTCAGCACTGATGTCAGAAAACACAACTGAGAGGAATCTGAAAAGAAACCAAACCAAACCAAACCAGGCTTCTTGAGTCCTAACTGGGGCACTTGGGCATGGGAGATCTCCATTCTCAACCCATGTTCCAATGGACATTGGAATCCAAGTTGGGTCTCCGATGGGCAGGGAAGACCCAATTGAGTTTCCATGGCAACCGGCAGCTCCTCCAAGAATATCTTGCAACAGAGTTCGTTTTTCTTTTTTTTTTTTGCAATCCGGCACTGGGTGAATGAAGGGGCGGCCCCAGAGGCAGCATTTCTGATTAGCAATTTCACTTCCAACTCAATGCAAATAAGTGATGTTTCACCAACTTATGGAAGTCTTTTTATTTATTTATTTAATGATCAAGGTATCCCCACCAACTCACGCACTAATTCCTCATCCGGTTAAAAAAACAAATCACTTACTTCGAGAATTAAACATTTGTGAAAAATTACTTCTTCATTAACTTCCATGAAATCAGTTATAAAATTGTTTGATAGACAAATTTTTAAGCAGACTAACTCACTCCTTCAATAAAGGGACATTCTGTTTCTCTCAGCAGCACATGGTGGAATTAAATGGTTAGATAGACAGACCTGTAAGTCAAACTCATATTTACAACCACATATGGTGGTCCACAATAACAATCCCTTTAATTTCCCCAATTACATTTCCTATTCTTCTCCAACAACTACCACTTCTGCCTCACCATGAATAAATTCTACCTTCTAAACATGACCATTTAAAGACAAAACACACAAGTCTAATGGAAACCTATCCCAATTATCCACAAGGATATCAATTAGTCAGGAAAAAAAAAATCATAAACTCAACAAAAATCGAGGTATTTGTTCTTCCATTTTTTTTTTTCCCTTCTTTCCCTGCAATATTAATATTAGCTTTTCTTCTCAACTATTCTTGACCGGCTGAGTGTAATGACCCATCCCTCATCAACTTCAAGCTTAGACTGTTGAATCTTTCGCGTGAATATTGTCTTGATGCTTTTCTCCAATCTGTACCAGCCTTCATCATCGCAGCAAACTCTTCAAAACTAATGCGTCCATCCTGTAACATGAATGAGAAATATTTTACTTCAAGTTTGGCAACCAGGAATGTCATTGTAATATGAAAATGGAGCCTTTTTAGTAAACATAAGCACTGTCTACATGTGCCAAAATAAGCACCTTGTCTGTATCAACATCAAGCATGATGGCATTGATAACTTCCTCGCTACTGGTGTCTACGTCGTCGTTTAAGGCACCTCGCAGCTCGTCAATCTCTATGTAACCACTTTGATTTTGATCAAAGAATGCAAAAGCTTTGTGTAGGTGCTCATCATTGGCCATCTTCTTGAGGTGAACTGAAACTGCCATAAACTCTCCATAGTTCAGAGTACCATCACCATCAACATCAGCCTGGGTAAATGA